TATCTATCTATCTATCTATCTATCTATCTATCTATCTATCTATCTATCTATCTATCTTAGCCCATCCATGCATATCCATCCATCCGTTCATCTGCCTGTCTATCTTAGTCCATCCATCCATCCATCCATCCATCTTAACCCATCCATGCATATCCATCCACCCGTCCATCTATCTATCATAGTCCATCCATCCATATCCCTCCCTCCCTCCATCCATTTATCATCTTGTCTATCCTTCTATTTCTCTCGGTCTGTGTCTCTCTTCTGTCTGTCTATCTGACTCTCTCTCTCTCTTTCTCTTCTGTCTACACACACACACACACACACACACACACACACACACACACACATCAACAGAAGGACTGAAACTGCATTTCTTATTAGGTGAAGAAAGAGGCAGCTTTTTCCTCTGCTAGCCCATTTCTCTGCTGGGGCGGAAGTCTGATGGAGCACCTTCATCCCTCATGGATCAGCTCAGTCGCTTGTCTGCATCAAAATCCTGCCTGTTGACCAAACCATTCATTTATCGGAAGGTCTTCGCAGCTTCCTTACTCTCCTCCGCTAAAACAAATGGATTCTTTTATTCAGTTTACAGAGTCTGTCCCCCTTGTAATTGCGCTTTGCACTCACGTTTTGGTTAGTGTACCAGTAGAGGGAAGAATCCTTCAGGACAAACCAGTATTTTTTCCATTTCTGGGTGAAGTAACCTTTGGCATCCTTCTTCTTCCATAACCAACCCTCACAGTCACCGTGGCCCAAATCCTTACAGGAAATTCGCCGTCGGCTACTGTTGTTCAGAGAACCACCTAGAGAGAAAAGACGTAGAAGGGGTACAATAACAGGTAGTCCTCAACTTGTAACAGTTAAGTGACCATTCAGAGTTACAACGGCACTGAAAAAAAGTGACCAATGACCATGTTTCACACTTACAACCGTTGTAGTGTCCCCATGATCACTTGATCAAAATTCAGAAGCTCGGCAACTGACTCATATTTATGACGGTTGCATTGTCCTGGGGTCATGTGATTCCCTTTTGTGACCCTCTGAGGAGCAATGGGGAAGCCAGATTCACTGAACAGCCATGCCACTAACTTAACAACAAAAGCTCATTTAACAATAGCCTCACTTAAGAAGAGAAATTTTGGGCTCCGTTGTGACTGGAAGGCGAAGACTCCCTATATATCATTGGAGTAGGAGATCACAGGTAAGGGATCCCTTCATTTTCACTGGAGCTTTTCAAACAGAAGTAGGATTTAAAACAATTAGTCCCTTTTAGTAATTTAAACAATACAGCCAAAAGACGAACAGCGGTAAATGCAAGCATTTTGTATTGACTTTTGTATTGTATTACAATAACACGATTAAAATCAGCCTCAAATATAAGATCTAGCAAGACCATTAATTAAGTCTATAATATATGCGGGAAAGTAGGATTGTCATCTATTGGGGAGAGTGTAATGAATCCTGCAGTGTGCAAGGAATTGGACTTCATGTCCTCTTAAGTCCCTTCCAATTCTAACACATAACAGATAATCAGAGTTGGAAGGGACCTTATAGGCCATCTAGTCCAACCCCCCACCCAAGCGGGAGACCCTACGCCATTTCTGACAAATAGCAGTCCAATCTCTCAAGTGATGGAGCCCCCACAACTTCCGAGGGCAACTTCTGTTCCATGGGTTGATTGTTCTCACTGTCAGAAAATTTCTCCTTATTTCCAGGTTGAATCTCTCCTTGATCAGTTTCCATCCATTATTCCTTGTCTGGCCTTCAGGTGCTTTGGAAAATAGCTTGACCCCTTCCTCCTCCTCTCTGGGGCAGCTCCTCAAATATTGGAAGCCTGCTATCCTGTCTCCCCTGGTCCTTCTCTTCCCCAGACTAGCCATGCCCAGTTCCTGCAACCGTTCTTCATATGTTTAGCCTCCAGTCCCCCAATCATCCTGGTTGCTTTTTCCAGAGTCTCAACATCTTTTTTATAAAGTGGTAAACAAAACTGGATGCAGTACTCTAGGTGTGGTCTTACTTGTTATAATAAATGTCAGCCTATTGTGGGATAATAATAATAGTAAAAAATCTCTCATCATTGAATTCCTTCTTGAGGTCTTTCAATGCCAATCCACTGTGGTGGAAAGCAGTCTGGATTCCCAGAAGGGAGAGAAACAAGAGACAGTGCAGTGTTGGACATTCTTTCTCTCTCTTAACAAGTCCAGTGAGGTGCAGCCCAGCCTATTTATCTATCTGAGGTTAAAGGTTAAGTGCAGGTAGCCCTTAACTTACAAAAGTTCATTTAATGACTGTTCAAAGTTACAACGGCGCTGAAAAGGTGTCTTATGACCTCTTTTCACATTTACCACCATTTTGGAGTCCACGTGGTCATGTGATCAAATATGGCCACTTGACAACGGGTTCATATTTATGATGGTTGCAGAGTCCCGGGGTTACGTGATCTCCTTTTGCGACCGTCTGACAAGCAAAGTCAACGGGGAAGCCAGATTCACTTAACAACCGGGTTGCTAACTGATCAACTGCAGTGATTCATTTAACAGCTGAGGCAAGGAAGGTCATAAAATGGGGCAAAACTGACTTAACAAATGTCTTACTTAACAACAGGAATTTGGGGCTCAGTTGTGGCCATAAGTCGAGCACTAAGAAACCAGAAGACTTTATTGTCATTATTTTCAAACAAGTGGATCACTCAGAAATTCTATTCTGCTTTTTTCTTGCCACTTTTTCTTTTATCACCAGAAACAGAATTTCTGGTAATATTCATATCACTTTTTCTATAAAGCCGAGGGCAAATTTAATTAAAACATCAGACTGCGCAGTGTGAAAAATTGGGTTTACATTGTTATATTAATTATATTTGTCCTACAGCTGTGAAGCATAGTCGAGAGTTTAGATCCCATTAAATTATGATTCTTTCTTCTGTACAGTCTTCACAGCTAAGCTGTGTAAAAAGTTTATTTCTTTGGAACCGACATTATGAATTCAGTGAATTGTAGAACAACTCAGTGTACAAGTGTGTAATAAAAGAAAAGAGGTTACTCTTGAACAATCTTCTGCTTTTCAAACAGATTACAAAATGGATTTATTGAAATTGTCACATAATGACCCCTTCTGACTGGCATTTAAAAATTGAACCGTTCTACATACTAATTAACACCCTGAAATCACTGGAGGCATTGGGCAGAACTGAGATGGGCTGGAGGTTTGACATGATCAATGTGTTGGTTTACACCCAACTTTATTTTTCCTTTCTGTAGAAAACTAAGGAAGCTATAGAAGTTTTTTTTTTTTTTTACCAGAATTTCTATCGTTAATGTACAAGAGGATCTCCAAGACGGTAGAAAGGGGTGGTGGTGGTGAAGAAAATAAGCTGACATCTAATCCTAAGTTAGGTTGTGTGTTAGTAGGGTTTGGTGATTGCAGGAACCTGGACACTGAGATTTGTAAACAATTATTTATGGAGGAGGAGGAAGGAAGGAAAGAAGGAAGAGAGAGAGAGAGAAAAGGGGAAGGGAAGAGAAGAGTGGAGAGGAAAGGAAGAAAAGAGGGGAAGGGAAGAGAAGAGAAAAGGGGAAGGGAAGAAAAGAGGGGAGAGGAAGGAAAGAAAAGAGGGGAAGGGAAGAGAAGAACAGACTGGAAAAAAAGCAGAGATAAAAATGATTGTGCACATTGTGCACCTAGCTCAAAAATTTAGTATGCTCCCGGTCCACTGTGTGTTATACCTGTGAAATTCAATGTTTTACTTCGATCAGTGGCTTTAATGTTTTCTTATTAAAGTCTTGATTTTTCCAACCACTTACCTTTGGGCCATTTTTTGCTCTTTACCCTCAGGGAAGCATAGTGAAATGACTGGGATGAAAGACAAGAAGGAAAACATTGATTAGTTACCCTCTCAGAAAAAGCTAAACAAGAACATTGTGGAGAAAATGTCCTGCCCTATGAATAACACATAGATACCACTTCTCTTGGTGATTAACCCCACACTTCTTAAGTGCCTTTATTTATTTAACAAGATGATGAAGATGATGATGATATTGTTATCCATTCAGACATGTCTACTTCTTGGCAATTCTCTCGACATCTTCCTGTGTCGCACTACATTTTTGAATTGTTCTATACTCCAGCTGGAATCAGCTTTGATGGAGGTGGTCCAGTGGTGGGATTCCATTCTTTTTACTATCGGTTCAGTGGGCGTGGCTTGGTGGGTGTGGCAGGGGAAGGATATACTGCAAAATCCCCATTCCCTCCCCACCCCACTAACCTGCTTTCCAGCTCCCTTCTCCTGTGCAGGGCAACAAAAGGAGACCCAGCTGATCATCTGGGACTCAATGTGAGGCCCATTGAACGATGAATAGATGGTGGGGCAGGACCAGTCAGAGGTGGTATTGGCCGGTTCTCCGGACTACTCAAAATTTCTGCTACCGGTTCTCCAGAACTGGTCAGAGCCTGCTGAATACGACCTCTGAAATAGTCATGCTGATTCTTTACACACACACACACACACACACACACACACACACACACACACACTACATTGCAATACTTTCTTTGAGCAGTCTTTCTTTGAGCAGTCGAGAACTGAACATGGAGGGGAATGACGTCTTTGTTATCTAAGTCTTCGAAATAGGGGTAACACTCGTTCCTTTTATTTTAATCTGAGAATAACAGGTTAGCCCTACAGTAAAACCAGGAACTCTATCAACCAATGGTGTCAAACTCACGGGCCCTGGGCTGGATGTATCACGCGCTGGCCACCTCCGTTCCCTTTTTAGCAAAGGGGAAAAAAATGTCGCGATACGTCACGTGACGATGTGACATTAAGACAACCCTGCTATAAACAAGTCCTTCTAAGCCAACTTTCTTCAAGAGATGAGGTTTCATCCCACCAATTGTTTCCGAACTTTGCAATGACAAAAGTAACACAGGAAACACAGAGAAAAGTTGGTGTTGCCTATCACCTTACTGAGCAATAAAAATAGTGAGCAGGGGGTTGGACTAGAAGACCTCCAAGGTCTCTTTCAACTCTGTTATTCTGTTCTGTTCAATAACGTGAGGAAATCTGTTTGGTTTACATTCAACAGATACCATGAGCTCACACTTCCTGGATATGACGACGGGTCAACTTGACTTTTTGCTCTGAAATGTTGGGATATAACTTTCCAAGGGTCTTTTAAGCATATAAAACTATGAAAGTTGTGACCAAAAAACCCCATGCCTTGAGGGAAATCACCTACGAAATGTCATATATGCAAGAAAGAGGCCACAAACAGGTTGGCGTTGGGTATAAAAACGGCAGGCAGATCAGAGGTGGTATTCAGCAGCTTTTGAGCAGTTCTGGAGAACCACTAGCGGAAATTTTGAGTAATTAGGAGAACCGGCAAATACCACCTCTGCCTCGTGATTTTACAGTATCCTTCCCCTACCACGCCCACCAAGCCTACCCACAGAACCAGTAGTAAAAAAAAATTGAATCACACCTGTGATGCCCCTGTTGGAATCTGATTCCAAGGGGGACGTCGAACAGCTGACAGGGAATGGGAATGTGGCTCTGGTGGCTGCGGAGGAAACTGGGGAAGGGCACAGTCCATCTGAGCATTCAGAGGAAGACCCAGGGCCACCCCCACTTCATCATAAGGGCATGCAGGGAGGAATGGATAAGGGAGCAATGTGGGTTATGGGGGAGAAAAAGGCCTTGATTCCCTTCATTAGCTGCAACTGGGAAAAGGGTATTTGTGCACACAACCTTGTTGGAAGCAAAGCGTGCATTATCTTTGTTTGTTAAGTCTTATCTGGGTTCTGGCATCCTCCCAACTGTGTGTGTTACGTTATGTTTTGAAGTCTGCAATTCTTTATCCTGGCCCGTCTCGTTAATTGCTGCAGCATGGTTTGTGTTGGTTTTTATTTGTAATTTATATGTACTTTGGGTTCAGACTAAATTTCTTCCCTTTAAAAACTGTTCTTGGAAGAGTTTTTTCTCCAGCCGAGGATAACTGGACATTGGGGACCAAGTTGGAGGAATTAAAGGGACTTTACCTACTTTGTGACTTGGTTGCTTTTGTGCCATGCCCCAGGTCATCACAATACCACTGATGCAGATGTGAACAAAAAATGCCACGTGAATATATGTGCAAGCTTTAAAAATGGAATTTGCAAACTGGTGCAGATCTGGAACGGAACAAATTAGACTTGGTGTAGGAAGCAAACAAAATTCATTTATTCTGGTTATCAGTCAGGACCAAACAAACCCCACCTACACAGGAAATTTCTCAATATGTGGTATAAGCAAAACTTTTGCTTTTTTTTTTTTAGAGCATGCGTGCAGTATGTCTACCCTAGTCTATAAAAAGCACCGGAATGAAGCGGTAGAAAGCTGAGTGGGAAATCTTCAGTCTCTAGATATGACCAACTTTGGCAACTTAATGATATGAGGACTTCAATTCCCAGAAATCCCCAGCCAGCATCAGATCTTTCGGGGGGGGGGGGGGGGTCTGATTTTTTTTTAACCTAAAATGAGCCACATGCAGCTTTTACTTTAAAGGTTAATTCTTTACAGTTAATTCTCGACTTGCAATGGTTTATTTAGTGACCGTTGAAAGTGATAAGAGCACTGAAAAAAGTGACTTATAACACTTAATTTTTCACACTTACGACCATTGCAGTGTCCCCCATGGTCACCTGATTAAAAATGTGTATGCTTAGCAACCGGTTCCTATTTATGACTGTTGCTGTGTCCCAAGTCATGTGATCCCCATTTGTGACCTTCTGACAAGCAAAAGTCAATGGGGAAGTCAGATTCACTTAACAATGGTGACAAGAATGGTCATAAAATGGGGCAAACCTCACTTAATGAGGGTTTCACTCAGCAGCAGAAATTTTAGGCTCAGTTGTGGTCCTAAGTCAAGGATGACCTGTATTCCAAGTCTTTAAGTTTCTCTTTTCTGCCTCTGTGATAATTTTTATCTTTCTCTTCCTCCTTATATAGCAATAGCCCTTAAACTTATATACTGCTTCATAGTGCTTCACAGCCCTCTCTAAGCGGTTTACAGAGTCAGCCTATTTTCCCCCAATAATCTGCCTCCTCATTTTACCCACCTCGGAAGGATGAAAGGCTGAGCCAACCTTGAGCCTGGCGAGATTCGAACTGGCAAATTGCAAGCAGCTGGCAGTCAGCAGAAATACCCTGCAGTACTGTATTCTAACCACTGTGTCACCATGGTGGATGCTTATGGCCATCTATATTTGGGCTTGATGCACTTTGACAATGATTCCGAAGAAATGCTTCAGACTTTGCAAACACCTTGTTGCTACCTAATTAAAGCAGCCACTCTTCTTTAAAGCTTGGCGTTAGCTTGAGAACAGAGGTAGCTGCTTGGAAAAGCCCAACGATTAGAATTAACGTGACACTGAAAAGAGATTTTTAACAATCAGCTAATCAATAACAACAACATAAACAACCTTGTTCCGACCCAAACCTTGTTCCAAGGAAACAGACACGAACAGAGGTAACAGCAAAACCTTTTAATGATTCTTTACAAATTCCATTCCTTCACGATTAAAAGGATGTTTCAAACTAATTGTCTCTGATAAGAACGAGACTTGCAAAGGTTGTGCAAGGCTGCCAAGAACACTAGATAAAGTTACTAAGAAATATTTCAAACACGAAGAGTCTCCAAACACCAACCAAGATATCCCGAACATCCACAAGGCTTGAGTGCAAAAACTTCTTTGCTTCCTGCAAAGAACTCAGGTTTCTCAGCTGGCTTTTATCCCTTAAGGGAGGGGCCATTACCTTGCAGCCTTACTCCCGAGTCGCCCATGCTGCTGCAGCTGCTCTTTTATTTGAACAGCCCTGCGCATACGCGCACTGGGCACAGGCTCCTCGGGAACCTCTTCATCCCTGCTGCCAGCCTCCACAATCTCCAAAGATAGCACTCCACTCCCTGATGGTCCTGACCCCATCCTTGCATCACACGCAGATCCCTCACCTGGGTCCTCACTCTCCAAGACCTCAGCCGTCTGCACCTGCTGCCGGCGAACCACAACAAACCCTCAAAGGACAATACTGGGCCATTCCGAGTTATTTTAGGGAAGTTGAAGATCCTTCTGCTTGGAAAAACACTTTAGGATATTCTTCTGGCTCCAGTAAGCAAACAGAAAGCAAACCCAATAATGCACCGCTCTATTTTACCAGAAAGAATCTTTCTTGACAGTCCGGCTTGGACTAAGGGATAAAAATAGCCACAGGATGGGCAATTCCAGCAAAGTAAACTCTCTGTATGTCTCAATCAGTGCTAAAAAAGAAAAGAAAACTAGCTTGTGCAAAGTTCAAGCTGCAAATTTAACAAGACAGCAACATTACCTTTAAAAACTAAGAAGAGACAAGAGTTTTTTGGACTGCAGTCAGGTTTAATTAGATCCCCAAGAACCAGGGGGGAAAGGAGTGACCCAATAAGATTCGAAGAGGAGAAGCACTGAAATATGTTGGAAGAAATATCCAGGTCCAAGCTGGGAGAAAGAGGCTGGAAGCATGGAGGCTGGTTGGAAAGATGGTTTAATGATGGACAGGACCACCAAGCCATGGTTCTGGCACAACCAACCACATGGAGTTGAGAGTGAGGGGTTTTTATACCTTCTCTTGGCCTTTGCACTTGAACTTCCTGTTCCTGTGCAAGAACATTGTGTTCTATTGGCTGTTTTAGGGGTCATAGCTGGCTCTGTAGGTTGTCTGAGCTAAGCTTGGTTGAAGCCTGGAGGGTGATGTAATGTCCCCAGAAGATTGTGCAATGTGATGAACTCCACTGCTAGATGGTAGAGGGGTAATCCTATTATGTCCTGAGGGATCATGTCTT